GTATTGCCCTAGTGATCAAAGAGAGAGAACCAGGCCAATTACCCTGATGGTCCCCTAAAGACAAAGATAGCAGAAAAAAAACCTTTCTTGCTACTAGGACCCGTATATAACGCTATGTCCCTACCTTTCTTTGTATGTGCCAACACCGATCCATGGGCATTTCCAAACCTATGGTCATCTCCAGGCTATGGTATACTCAGTGCTACGGTCAACCTCAGTGTACGGTCAACCTCCATTCTAGGTCAGCTTCCTAGTCCTGGCCGTCCCACCAGTGTATGGTTTTTTTACACCCGCCCGTTGTGTCCACCAGAACCCACCTGGGTATCCCGGTGAACCATCTGTAGCCCAACCATTCCTCCACAACATGCTTGAGCCTTCTACACCTCCTGTCAGGCGACCAGTGCCAATCCCAAAGTTCAGGTTGTAGGGAACAAGATGGGCTATGATTTAGGTCTTTACTTTTTTAACACACTTGTACCATTGACGTATTTATCAAGTTATTGACCTGAAGAAAAGCCTCCTTCATTCAGTTCAAAAACAGTTATTGTTTTTAATTTTGGCACTGATTTCTATGGTTTATTTCTATAGTAAGAGGGCCACTTTATCCAAAACTGTCCAGGGGCCTGCAACACACTGAAAAAGTGTTTTCACCGGTTCTGGCCAAGTCGTTATTGATTCACATTCGACGGAGCTGAAGTTGACTGAAATGTTTTAACATCTCTCCAACTGCATCTGTGCCATATCTGGAATATTGTGATTCAATCACAACCAAATGTCAGGATATGAAAATAAACGACTGGATTCAGGAGGTTTGAGCTTTACAACCAGGTACAGCTCTATTGGTGAAGCTGAAGTGGCTGGATGACACTATGAACTTATGTCTATGATCTCTAACGTACTTTGTGTTAGCAGGACAGAGGGCCACATCACATGACACAGAGGGCTGCAGACGGCCCCGCAGGCCTTGATTTGGACTGCCCGATATCGATCAACAAAGAGTTTGAGCGAATCACCGGTGTTTACACCGTTCATAGAGAAAATGGATTTACACATTTCAGTTGTTTAATAATTGAACATTGGAGTTGTGGGACTATATTTTTGGCTCACAGTCGACTGATGGATGGAGAGAGTTCTCCGTCCACCAGCCCTGCCAGCTCCAAGAAACACCTCTTGGAGGTTGTGGGTAAGTTATGCCCGTTGAGTTTGTTTCTCTTGTTTTATCAAATGTAGCAAATGTTTAGTTGTTTAAAGAACTTGAGCTTTGTATAGTTACATTTTTACTACTAACTGGAAATAATAGAATTGTGGAATAATTTTTCCCCATAAATGATGTATGTAAAACAGAGTATCTTTCAGAAACAACAGTATACTAGAGATGCAGCATAGATGGATAGATTTGTACTAATTTCAAGTTGTAATGTTTTCATGTCTGTAACATTTAAAAGGTGAAACATGATTCAATATGTTCAAAATGAGGAAATATTGAGAATGAGAGAAACAGTCTCAACTCTCATGTTGTCATTGTGTTAGCACAGATACTAAATGTAATTTTCAACATCTGACTGAAACAAAGGTCTCATTATAGGGTCTGTGCTGTTGAACAGGATTGCAGCCACAGAGGCCTCAGTGTCCAGAGGAGCTTCATGGACAGCTACAACCATCAGTGAACAAAACCTGAAGTCCTGATGCTGGTACCTGTGCTGGACTCATCAGCAGTGAACCTCTGCGGCTCACAAAGACTCTGGAATCTCTCAGAACGCTGTTCTGGATCTGCAGTGTCAACGGGCGGCACGGTGGCACAGGGCGGTTAGCGCTTGTGCTTCACAGCAAGAAGGTCCTGGGTTGGATTCCACCCCCAGGCCTTTCTGTGTTGAGTTTGCATGTTCTCCCCGTGTCTGCGTAGGTTTTCCTCCGGGTACTCCGGTTTCCCCTACCACTAAAAACATGCACATAGCTCAAAAAAATTCAGATATCATCACAGAATATTAGGCCTCAGGTATCGGCTAAATCAGTGACGTGCGGTGAGGTTGGTGATTGGATATGTACATATATACATGTATTCATATAAATCAACACGGCCTATAGAGCGGCTTATTCACAATTTGTTAGGCTACATTGTTTGCCCGCATTGTTTGTTCATACAAAACAAAGTGTGTTATGGGTCTTACCTATGACCTGCACAGACCACTTCGTTTCAGACCAGTTTTATGTTTAAGTCCAGATAATAGTTTGAGCGCGGATATGTAATCCTCCATTTGTAAATAAGTCCAATGAGTTTTAAAAAGTAAAACAAAACGGGTGTCTCCTCCATAAACTCCGCTCGTGTTTCGCTGCAGCGACTGCATCCAATATCTAAAATCAAAATTAAACTTCACCTCTCTTCCTTATTATTCATATCATCATTTGGAAGCATGTCAGCTGTTAACCTCAGCTGACAGAGAGCCTAAAGCTTTCTATTTGTGGGGATTTACGTCCCTTGTTAAACTTTTTTTTCTTATCGGATTTTGGGTCTTTAGTATCCTGAACTTTTTTTCCTTAAACTTCGGTTTCTTTTAATCCACAATTTACTGCCACAAACTCTGCTCCCTGCCTTCCCGCTCTAGCTCCGCTCTTCCGTTGCTCTGATCAGCAGATCTGATTGGTCAGAGCGCCCGAGCCCCTCTGTGCGCGTGCATGAAAGCCACACACCGCACGTTTGGCGCAAAGCATGATGGGAGATATCTCCATCATGCGTAATCCACTGCGCAGAACCGGGAGGACCAGACGATGCCCAAATATAGGCGAGTTCAGCTAATTCTCCCGGTCTCCATGAAGTAATCCATTCGTACTGATGACGATGCCAAAGCCATTCATTTGAATAGGACGCCATCTTGGATCACCAATCCGGGCTTGATCCAAATCCATTGCTGCAAGAACTGAGAAAGGCTCAGGGAGCGTCAACAAATGTCAAGACCAGCTTTGTAAACTAATAACTTTTACTGAAGTATCTTTTTTATATTTTGTATGACTAATATATATATATATATATATTAGTGACATGTTAGTCCCATACGAACCAAGCCGGACTCTGAGGAGCACAGGGACTGGACTGGATGTAGTGAAGTTCTAAAAAACTGATTATGAAATTCCATGCTATTTTTTTTTTTTCCTGGTGTAGATTGAATTAGTTTTTATGAATCGAAATATTAATTTTAGGCCATATCGCCCACCCCTATTTATGACCCATCCTCTCAACTGTAGAGATGTTGATTGTAAAGGAAATAAGTTGAACTTTGTAAACCGCGATAAATAGAAAAAACATTTCGATAGCAGCGCACGGGCCTCTTCCCCTGTGAGCTATGGGCTTTTACGTCTCTCAAGTGAGGCTCGCCTCACAACGCCGCTCTGTCAAATATGCAATTTCAAGGTAAAAAAAAAAATGAATTAAGTTACATTGAATTAATACAATCGCACAAATCACTTGATATAATGACCAAGTATTATTGCTTCCATTTTGTTCTTTTTATTTTCCATGATCTTAGGTGAGGCCGGGCCTCACCTGCCTCATCTGACCGCACGTCACTGGGCTAAATACACGGAGCAGCCAGCATTAATTCGAGGCACAAATCCTTTTTAGAGCTTTTTATTGTTTTTACTAAATAAAATTTTATATTTTAAAGCCTATGCATGTGTGAATTTGTTTTTAAAGATATTGGTTGGTGCACACCTGACATGATTTGTGTTAAAAAAAAATACTTGTAGGCGTCTAAACTCTTGTTCACAAGATAGCGTATAGGAGGACCTTTGTTTACACCCACGTGCGCGTGCACCCCTCGCTGGTGTATGTATATAAAAAAAAAAGAATGCTCACCTTTGGCCCGTCCCGGGCGGTTATCCCTCTCTAAGCTCGGGTCCTCTACCAGAGGCCTGGGAGCTTGAGGGTTCTGCGCAGTAACTTTGCTGTTCCTAGCACTGCACATTTCTGGACCGAGATGTCCGAGGTTGTTCCAGGGATCCGCTGTAAGCACTCTTCTAGCTTCGGGGTCACTGCCCCGAGTGCACCGATCACCACGGGCACTACTGTCACCTTTACCCTCCAGGCCCTCTCCAGCTCCTCTCTGAGCCCTTGGAATTTCTCGAGCTTTTCATGTTCTTTTTTCCTGATGTTACCATCGCTTGGAATTGCCACGTCCACCACCACGGCTGTCCTCTGCCCTTTGTCCACCACCACGATGTCAGGTTGGTTCGCCATTACCATTCGGTCGGTCTGTATCTGGAAGTCCCACAGGATCTTCACACGCTCATTCTCCACCACCTTTGGAGGAGTTTCCCACTGAGACCTTGGGGTTTCTAGCCCATACTCTGCACAGATGTTTCTGTACACTATGCAGCCACTTGGTTATGGCGTTCCATGTTGGCCTTCCCTGCAGCATCTTGCACCCTGCAGTTATGTGTTGGATCGTCTCAGGTCCCTCTTTGCACAACCGACACCTTGGGTCTTGTCTGGTGTCGTATATCTGGGCCTCTATAGTTCTGGTGCTCAGAACTATATTAGGGCTGTCAAACGATTACTTTTTTTAATCGAGTTAATTACAGCTTAAAAATTAATTAATCGTAAATAATCACATTTCGAACTATCAAAAAAATGATGGCATATTTTTCTGTAGATGGTTGTTTGAATGGAAAGATAAATGATGACATAGTGTACATAAGAACTGTATTTGTTTATTATAACAACAAATCCGCATTAAATGGGATAAACGTTATTAACTTTCTTTAAAAGACAGTTTTTTTCCTCTAAAAAAAGCAAAATGAGGGTCCGCTTGTTCAGTAACAGAAAAGTTTTTTTCCCTTTTTAAAACAAGCACAACATGGCTATTCTCTAACATTTTATTTCTTAAACCAAAAGTGCAGTAAGAAACATCAGTCTCTATCTGCTTCTGCTTTGAGCTTCATCATATAAATCAAATGTTTCTTCTGCTTTGTTCAAACAAAGTGTGTGGTGTCATTTAAATGTGGCCCTACTCCTCTCCTAGCCAGTTGCTGAGGCAAACCAACTTATTAAGATTTTCTGAGAGTAAAGCTGCCCTTTTCTTGTTCACAATGTGACCTGCAACTGAGAAGAGTCGTTCACACGGAACTGAGGATGTAGGAGCAGCGAGATATTGAAGAGCCAGTTGAGCCAGCTCCTCATGGGCCCCTACATGAGATGACCACCATTGCAAGGGACAGTCCGTCATATCAATGGTGGGCTCTGCTCTGTACCTGTGTATGGCTCTGTCAGGCTGTACCTCCTCCTCAGATTCAGAATCTGAGCCCAGCAGTAGAAGGGTCATTTTCTTCTTGGGTGGCCCATTTTCAGAAGTCTGTGATCTTCTGGGTGATTTTTCACGCACCATGGCTCCAAGTGTGGTCCACACCTCATCTCGCTCTGTCTTGGGCAGACTCTTTAAGTCTTTAAAACGTGGATCCAATGCGGTTGCAATCTTGAGCCATGCATGGTTGAGGTGTTCTTGTCGAGAAGCGAGGTCATCCTTAAATTTGTCTTTGAACTTCACTATATATGCAGGGTCCTCTTCAGAGACTTCCATATTTTTGAGCAAGTGACAGAGGGCAGGCAAAACCATGGAGCAAGAGACGTATGCCTCTCCACCCAGGAGCTCTGTTACATACCTGCAGACGCACGCACACAGACAGACACGCACATAGACACACGGAGAGAGAGAAAATGAAAGATGAGAAAATTAAAGTTTGAGAACCACTGCTTTATATAATGCATGCTTACCGGCAGGGCTCTAGAAGGACGCCAAGTCTCTGGATTTTGTCCCATTCAGCTTGCTTCAGCATGACTAGCTTGTCCTGCTGGTGGTCCAGTGTGGCATTTATCGGTGCTTGATCGCGTTTCATGTGCTGAATCATTTCCAACGTAGAATTCCACCGTGTTGAGACATCCTGGGTTAGTGGCTCCTCTTTCTGTCCTCTCGCTTTTTGGTCTGCATTCAGCTCTGCTAAGTTTGCGGGGCTATGTTTGAAATGACCCACAATTTTGCGACACTTGGCCAACACACTGTCAAACCCACTATTAGCGAGGCTCACAGTGATGCTTCTCTGTATGATGTGGGCAGTACAGGGCATGTGCTCGTATGGTAGAATGCGAGCAGCGGCTGTCATACTACGTGCACTGTCCGTCCCGATGCATGTAACTTTTCCTTCAATAGCCCACTTGCGCGCTACAGTTTGGAACTGTTCAGCACATGCAGATGCAAAATGACGTTCTTCTGTTTTCATTACAGTTAGTGCAAATGACTTTAGTTTCCATGCTTTAGTGATGTAATGTGCAGTCACTCCCAAGTAATTAGTGTTACTAACGGAGGTCCAGTGATCACCTGTCAGAGCGACACACTCCGCTTCAGCTAAAGCCTCCTCTTTCTTCTTTTTCTCTGTCTCGTAAACGCTGTGGATCCTAATCATTATTGTGCCTCTTGCTGGTGGCTTGTAGGATAGGTCGAGGGATGCTACTCTCAATGTTTTAGCGAGATCCTTATCTTCAACAATGCTAATCGGTCTACAGTCCATTGAAACCCACTCGGCAATTGCGTTGGTTAATTTATCCGCGGTGAGTTTGCTCATTGGCCTGTGTTCGGTTAACGTGGTCTGCCGCAAGCCAGCTTGAGCACTGGAAGTAGAAGCCCCAGCAAACGCATGCTTAGCCTGTAGATGGTACTTTAGGGTTGAATTGTTGCGGTGGAACTGGAACTCCTTCTCGCAATGAGTGCAAACAACTACCTGCTTATTTATAGTTCCGTCTTTATTCTTTTTAAACTTGAATTCTCCACCGAGAGGTCCTACCTGCTCTGTCGCCATCATGTGTGTTCGCGGCACTTCTGAGTGTTGTTTTGACATGCATGGGCGGGTCATTTGGTACATACGTCAATTGCGTTAATTTTTTTAACGTGATTAATGGAACATTTTAATTAACGTGCGTTAACGCGCTAATTTTGACAGCCCTAATATTAGGGCTGTCAAAATTAGCGCGTTAAGTCCATATGATGATTTACCTGTATTTGATGATAACACATGGATACAACCCTCCTCCTCCACTCTGTCTCTCCACTGTCTCACACTGCTCTGCTCACTTGTATCTGTCTCACAGCTGGTTTGTGACGTCTGGCCCGGCATTTGTCATTTCTTGTAACATCTGGTTTTTCAGCTGGTCTTTTGTGGCATCTTGTCAAGCATCTGATCTACTTGTGGCCTCTGGTCGGGCAAATGTGTTGAGTAGCATCAGTTCCTTCTTCTGGTATTTGGAGGAACTTCACGGTATAGCATATTTTACTGGCATCTGGTCTAGCCTCTTTTTTTAACACAAGGTCTTGCATCCATTTTTCTGGTATCTGCTGTGTCCTATGAATTAGACCAAACATCAATGAAGAGGATGAGGGTCACACAAACGGCACACATGGTGATTTACCTGTATTTGATATGAACACATGGAGACAACCCTCCTCCTCCACTCTGTCTCTCCACTGTCTCACACTGCTCTGGTCACATCCATCTGTCTCACACTGCTCTGGACACATCCATCTGTCTCACACTGCTCTGGACACATCCATCTGTCTCACACTGCTCTGGACACATCCATCTGTCTCACACTGCTCTGGACACATCCATCTGTCTCACACTGCTCTGGTCACATCCATCTGTCTCACACTGCTCTGGTCACATCCATCTGTCTCACACTGCTCTGGTCACATCCATCTGTCTCACACTGCTCTGGACACATCCATCTGTCTCACACTGCTCTGGACACATCCATCTGTCTCACACTGCTCTGGTCACATCCATCTGTCTCACACTGCTCTGGACACATCCATCTGTCTCACACTGCTCTGGACACATCCATCTGTCTCACAGCTGGTTTGTGACGTCTGGGCCAGCATTTGTCGTTTCTTGTAATATCTAGTCCAGTAAGTATTTACCTCTGATGGGGCAAATATTTTAAGTAACATCTGGTCTTTCTTCTGGCATTTGGTGCATCTGATATCTGACTTTTTACTGGCATCTGGTCCAACACCAGTTCTTGCATATGGTCTTTTTTGACATCTGGTTTTCCCTTTGGCGTATGTTTTGTGATGTCCGGACTGGAATCTGTTATGGCATATGTCACTGATGTAGAGTCTTTTCTGACATCTGTCAGATTTGTAGCATCTGAAATGGCATGTGTTTTGATTCTGGTCAGGGATCTATCACATTATCCAACATCTGGTCTGTCATCTGGCCTTTTTCTTGGACGTTGGCTGGCATCTGATGTGTCCTAATGAATAGTACATAAATACAATGAAGAGGGGGGACACAAAAAACTGTACATGTTTGCTTTATTAAAATAATTGAAATAAAGGTCAAAGTTGTTGAAAACTGGCTCAGATGTTAATGCTCGACTTGGTTAGGACATGTTTTTAGTGCAGGGCAAACTGGAGCACCCGGAGGACACTTGTACAGACTCCACTCAGAAAGGCCAAGCGGGGTTTGAACCCAGGACCTTCTTGCTGTCCACTTAGCCACCAAGCAACCCTCTGGGTCTCTAGTGTCATCTGGTCTGGCATCTTTCAAGTTTTGCAGCAACTGGTCCGGTATTTTTCTGGGACCTTGTCTATTATCTTATGTTTCCTAAAGATTGAGACAAAAATGCAATGAAGAGGGAGGAGCAACACATGAATAAGTCCATATGATGATTTACCTGTATTTGACGAGAACACATGGATACAACCCTCCTCCTCCACTCTGTCTCTCCACTGTCTCACACTGCTCTGCTCACTTGTATTTGTCTCACAGCTGGTTTGTGACGTCTGGTCCGGCATTTGTCGTTTCTTGTAACATCTGGTTTTTCATCTGGTCTTTGGTGGCATCTTGTCAGGAATCTGTTCTCTTTGTGGCCTCTGGTCGGGCAAATGTGTTGAGTAGCATCAGTTCTTCCTTCTGGTATTTGGGGGAACTTCACGGTATAGGATATTTTACTGGCATCTGGTCTAGCCTCTTTTTTTTACACAAGTCTTGCATCCATTTTTCTGGTTTTCAATTTTTGTAGCACCTGTTTTTCACCATCCCATCAATCATTTTTCTGGTATCTGCTGTGTCCTATGAATTAGACCAAACATCAATGAAGAGGATGAGGGACACACAAAACGACACACATGGTGATTTACCTGTATTTGACATGAACATATGGAGAAAACCCTCCTCCTCCACTCTGTCTCTCCACTGTCTCACACTGCTCTGGACACATCCATCTGTCTCACACTGCTCTGGTCACATCCATCTGTCTCACACTGCTCTGGTCACATCCATCTGTCTCACACTGCTCTGGACACATCCATCTGTCTCACACTGCTCTGGACACATCCATCTGTCTCACACTGCTCTGGACACATCCATCTGTCTCACACTGCTCTGGTCACATCCATCTGTCTCACACTGCTCTGGACACATCCATCTGTCTCACAGCTGGTTTGTGACGTCTGGGCCAGCATTTGTCATTTCTTGTAATATCTAGTCCAGTAAGTATTTACCTCTGATGGGGCAAATATTTTAAGTAACATCTGGTCTTCCTTCTGGCATTTGGTGCATTTGATATCTGACTTTTTTCTGACATCTGGTCCAACACCAGTTCTTGCATATGGTCTTTTTTGACATCTGGTTTTCCCTCTGGCCTTTTATGGCTTCTGCTTTGGCGTGTGTTTTGTGATGTCCGGACTGGAATCTGTTATGGCATATGTCACTGATGTAGAGTCTTTTCTGACATCTGTCAGATTTGTAGCATCTGAAATGGCATGTGTTTTGATTCTGGTCAGGGATCTATCACATTATCCAACATCTGGTCTGTCATCTGGCCTTTTTCTTGGACGTTGGCTGGCATCTGATGTGTCTTAATGAATAGTACATAAATACAATGAAGAGGAGGGACACAAAAAACTGCACATGATTTATGATGTATGATTTACCTGTATTTGATAGAAACACATGGGCTGAACCCTCCTCCTCCACTCTGTCTCTCCACTGTCTTACATGGCTCTGGTCACTTCTGTCGGTCTCACAGCTGCTCTGTGGCATTTGGTCTGGCACTTTCCATGTATTTTTATCTTCTGGTTTTCCCTCTGGAATAAGTATTGGTTCTGCTCTGTAGGCATCTTATCTGTCACATGTTTTTGTGACACCTGGACACTGCTGTTTGTCCTGAAAAATACAACAATGCATTGAAGTGGGAGGGACACATGGAATGTTCATATGAATATTTACCTGTATTCAATGTGAACACGTGTATAACCCTCCTCCTCCAATCTGCCTCTCCACTGTCTGAACTCCTCACTGGTCAAAAAGTAAAATACACATGAAGTATCAGCTCTTCATCACATTCATCTAAAACAAAGCAGTCTTGTAAAGTAATGTGATAACAACCTTACTTAAACTATACTCGCATAGTTCTTATTCTTCTTTTTAAGCTCAATGAGAGAGCATGGATGAAAGAAACCTGTGAATCAAAGTTGAAACTTGGACACGCTTGGATACAGAAATGACAGGCTCATTTTTGTGGCATCGGCCGCTGCTAGAGCTACAGCTCATCTGTGGCACCTGCTTTGACATAAATGGCATCTGACATGAATCTGCCCTGATCACTGCTGTGTCCTATAAATAATATGATAATACATGAAGTGACGCACACTTCAAGGGACAAATGGAACGTTCACACAATGATTTACCTGGTTTTTGATTTGAACACATGGATATAACCCTCCTCCTCCACTCCGTCTCTCCACTGTCTGAACTCATCTGTTCCTCCTCTCTGGTCATGAAAAACAAGCAAATTAATGTACTGTGCTTCATCATGTGTGCAAATATAACTTTATACTGTACCTGCACAGTGTATTTCCTGATTGGGCCATTTTCAATGTTTTACTTCTCCTTTTTATCTAAAACAGAGAAAGTCTCATAAAGTAATGTGACAGTTTTTAGAGGTAGTTAACCTACTGTATACTTACTTTTTTATCCCTACAAAGCAAACCTGTGAATCAAAGCTATAGATAGATAGACCCATCCATCCATAAAAAAACAAATAAAAAAATAGTTCTAAAATTAGCAAACAATGTCACTAAAATGCAACAGCACTCTAGGTCATA